CAATGTCTATACAAATCTACATTCCCACCAACATGTACTAGGGTTCCCTTTTTTTCACACCCTTGCCAACATTTGTTATCTCTTATTTTTTATTTTTATTTTTTTTGCTGTCTCCCTGTCTGGAAATTGAACCCCGATATCTTATTTTTTTCATAATAGCCATCCTAACAGTTGTGATATGCAAATTTTTATCAAAGAGGAGCAACTAAGAGGTGATTGGTTGGTGTGGTAGGTGGTACTGGACCAGCCAGCTTACCCATTGTCTCATCACATGAGCTTTTATCCCTTCCCAAGAGTTACATAGCATATTTAATAAATTCTTGGAGTCCTCCTGTACACCAGGCTTTGAAATCAAGCATAGAATTTTCCTTATATGGACCTCGCAGTCTCTAGGGTTAATGCTCAAAATCCTCTCCTCCCTGGACTGTTGGCAATTATTTCCTCTCAGATTTTAGTCTAACGTCTCTTGCTAGAGGGATCTTTCTTTTACTGTTTTGTGTGTATGTGTCGTATTTTTTTGAGACAGAGCCTTGCTGTGTCACCCAGTCTGGAGTGCAGTGGCGTGATCTCAGCTCACTGCAGCCTCCACCTCCCAGGTTCAAGTGATTTCTTGCCTCAGCCTCCCGAGTAGCTGGGACTACAGGCCTGTGCCACCACATCTGACTAGTTTTTGTATTTTTAGTAGAGATGGGGTTTCACCATGTTGGCCAAGCTGGTCTTGAACTCCTGACCTCAGGTTATCGGTCTGCCTCAGCCTCCCAAAGTGTTGGGATTACAGGCATGAGCCACTGCGCCCGGCCTCTTTTCCATTTTTTTTTAAATTAATAGTTCTTTTCTGACTAATAAAAGAAATATATGCTTATTCAAAAAAATTTGGAAAAATGACAACAGTATAAATATAAATCATCATCTAGACATATTCAGTGTTGAAATTTTGATATATTTTCTTCTAGACCCTTTTAAAAATAGTATAATTAATCATAGAATACTTAAAGTTTAAGTTCTGTTTCTCTTTACTATCACATCAGAGACATTGTCCCAAATTATGAAAATATCTTTGGAGCATTAAGACTGACATTTCTAAGTCTTAAAACATTTTATTTCCCTGCTTACAACTGTCCCATCATTGGTCTTAGAAGGTAAAATTTCTACTTCTTTATTTTTAATTTAATTTTTATTTTTTACTTAATAGAGATGGGGTCTCGCTATGTTGCCCAGGCTCGATTCAAACTCCTGAGCTCAAATGATCCTCCCACCACAGCCTCCCAAACTGCTGGCATTACAGGCATGAGCCACCATTCCTGGCCAAGTCTCTACTTCTGAATGCCATGCAGATAAGGTTCCTTATGATCTGATCCCTGCAAACTTCTCCAGGATTCTATTTTCACTCCTCACTCCCTCTTCCTTTAATACCTACTCACCCAGACTCACAGAACACACAGTTATTTGCCAACCCCCTTCCCTCACACTCTGTACTCTGCCCACACCAGGCTACTTTCAGGTTCCCAGGCTGCCCCCACGTCATTCGCTCTTTCACCCTATATTCACAATGCTGCTCCTGCCTGGAATGTCCTCCCGTTGGCATATCCAGTGAAGCTCTCCTTATTTATCCGTTCTCAGTTCGAGCATTGCCTCTTTCATTAAGTCTTTCCTTTGCTTCTCCACCCCACCATAGAGCCACCTGCTCCTTTTGTTCATCCTCCATTGTACCCTGTCTCTCTACAATAGACCCATTTTGGCTTAGATTATGGAGGCCAGGGAGGCTTGTCTTATTCATCCTCGTTTCTCCAGCACTTTGCAAATATTTAGCATGTAGTAGATGTTCAATAAATATTTGCCTGAATTCAAATCAGTGGTTACAATACTATGTGATGAATGCCGTGCAGGGAGTGTGAAAAGAGTGTTTACAGGTGCACAGCGGAGGGGCAGGTTATGAGTATATGGTCTCAGATCCAGTGCCCAGGAAATGTGCTCATTTTAAATATGGGGATGACCTTCCTCCACACTTCATCACATATTTGAATCTATTTGCATTTCTATTCCCCATCCTTGGATCGACTATGGGAACATTTGTTGCTCTATCCCCATATACCTTTCCCTTTGTCCTCTGAGACTACTTGTGCCCTGAGCTCCAGGTGGGACAGAAGTCCTCACTGTGGCAGAAACCTGGCCACCACTGCCTTTTTTCTCCCAGGAGCAGAACAGACAATTTTAGGTCAGCTGTAGTTGCCCTTAGCTGGGGCTCAGTATCCCAGCTCTAGCATAGGTAGGTAGGTCTTCAGAGGCAATCACTCTTGAATTATTACAAGCATTAAAATCAAACTCATTGTTTTAGGCAGACTACCTAGCATATAGCTTTAGCCAAATTCTTTCTTTCTCTTGTCCTTCTCTATCACTGTTGCCATCCCAGCGAGTCCTCCCCTGGAGATAACTTGGGCTACTTTGCTCATAGAACAGGTCAGGTAGGAGGAGATGGAAGTATTTCCCCATTTGACAGAATGGACTCCTCAGATGTTCTTTGTTCTGTAGAAAGGTTGAGAGTGGACCGCAAGAAGTTGGATGCTCCATGGGAGTGCCTGTGGACAGAGATGTCACCCTGGGAAGGGGTAGGAGCACAGAGGATACCACTGAGCAGCAATTCACTAGAGGAAAACATTCATTTCTTCTAAGGGCAAAGGGATGGACCTGTGAATGAACTTCAGCAGTATCTATCTAATGGTCAAGTGAGCCTATAAACAAGGGCTTGTTTCCCAGGCATTGCAGTCACCATGCTACCACTCAACAGGCTGCAGAATAAAGGCTGAAACAGAACAATGAGGAGAAGGAGAGGGAAAATAAAAGGCATGTAATCAGATCAATCACCAGCTGGGCCCATCTGCCCAGGAGCCTGTCTCTGGTGATGGCACCAGGAGACATGTCATTGGAATGCCTGCCTGTGTGCTTGGTTGTCAAGCCTCAGCACCAGACACTCTCATTTCCTTAATGACAGGTTACAGATCCTGTATCTATAAATTGAGCTAAACCCTTCTTGACCTTTCCATATTTTTAGACTATACTGCTGCTCTGGATATAACAACTTCCATGGCCGATTACTTGTTCTGTGAATACCTTTATCTCAAGTTAAAAGAAATTCTCTCTCAAATTTGAAGACCCTGTCCTCTTAGTTTCAGTTTCTAGTGTTGGTAACAAATTCATGTTTAGCCCTTGGCACATTTTGTCAGTTTGAGGGTGGGGGGGATGGAAGAAGTTTGATATCTCTGCTGTGTTATGTTTTTCAGATTCAAATCTTTATATTCTCCATCTTTTTTATAAAATGGACCAACAGGAACCTCATTGCTTTTTTATTTATTTCTCTGGACCTTTCTTTTCTACCTCTGTTTAGCCTATGTTAAAATAGAGCAACTAAGAGCATTGTGACAAATACTCCAAGTGCAGCTCACTGAAGGCCAGGCTGAAGCCTTTACTTCCTACTACCTTTTTGGACTGCATTTTTAAAAATCTTTGTGACTTTAACCTTAGGGCTAATGTTTTCAAAAACTACTAAATGAAACTGTTTCTGTTAGCTGCAGTAGCTGGTTTAGACAGGCATCTTGTAAGGGCAGTTTAGGGCCAGGCACGGTGTCTCACACCTGTAATCCCAGCACTTTGAGAGGCTGAGGTGGGAGTATCACTTGAGCCCAGGAGTTCAAGACCATCCTGGGCAACGTAATGAGACCCCTGTCTCTACAGAAAAAAAAAAAAAAAAAAGATTAGCTGGACGTGGTGGTACATGCCTGTCCCAGCTATTCGGGAGACTGAGGTGAGAGGATTGCTTGAGCTTGGGAGGTCAAGGCTGCAGGGAGCCGTGATTGCACCACTGCACTCCAGCCTCGGCAATAGAGTGAGACCCTGTCTCAAAAAGATAGATAGATGGATGGACGGATGGATGGATGGATGGATGGATGGATGGATGGATGGATGGACAGACGGACGGATGAACGGACGGACAGACAGACAGAGAGAGAGTGAGAGCGAGAGAGAGAGAGATAGAGAGATAGATAGATAGATAGATATTCTGGCTGGGTGCATTGGCTCATGCTTGTAATCCCAACACTTTGGGAGACTGAAGCGGGAGGATCACTTGAGCCCAGGAGTTCAAGACCAGCCTGGGCAACATAATGAGACCTTGTCTCTAAAATAATAATAATAATAATAATAATAAAGAATACCCTTAGATTAGTCTCTCATTATTTGTTTTACAGTTGCCCAACTTGACCTTACTCTCCAGCCTTACTGTGTATCCACACTACTCCTGCCAATTTGCATAATGAAATGCTAAATGTCACTGTGTAATCCTTCTTCCAGGACACTTGTAAAAGTGTTAAGATTGACTCCATTTTGAGTATTTTTATTGTTAATAGTTCCATCCATGGGGACAGGGGAAAACCTCATCATCATAGGACATTTTTAACTTTTCAAAGGGGTTGTACAGCTATTATCTCTGCCTATTCCTTAGAAATCTGCAGAGAGGGAAGATTTAATTTGAAAACTGAGAAAAACTGAAGCATGGAACAATTTTAGCTATCTCACATAAATCATTCAGTGACTAGCAGATCTGGGATTCAAATTTAGGTTCTTTTACCCTTAGTTCCCTCTATAGTACCACATTCGCCCTTTTCACTTGTTTTGTGTAACTGCATATTTGGTATAGAATTGCAATCATTATCATTACCTCTGGAGCTCTTACCTAGAGATAGTCACTTTGACAATTTCATTATGTCTGAGAAATTGGCAGCACATAGATGCCAAGTACATCCTGGTTGCCTGAGAAGGTGGCAGCTCTGGGCTCCCTGCTGCAGGAGGATAAAGTCTCTGGTCTCCTAATACTTCACTGTGGTTTGGTGAGAACAGCCTTGGCTACTGATTTTCCATGTTGTCTATGGCTAGGCTGGGAGGACACAGGGATTCCAAATGACTTTTCAAAGTACACTTTTCTAAGGTTGTTTTTTCTTTCTTTTCAGAGTCTAGAAGGAGGCTCATACAGGGGGAGCTTGAAAGACCCTGCGGGCTGCCTGAATGAGGGGATGGCCCCACCCACACCTCCTAGAAACCCAGAAGAAGAACAGAAAGCCAAGGCCCTGAGAGGCAGGATGTAAGTGGCTTCCCCAGATTTCTCCCTGTGGTGCACACGTGAGTGTGGTGGACAATGGGCAAAGGTTGGGGAGAATTCGAGAGGGGCTCCCCATGCTGTTTCCACTGACATCATTCATTCTAAGAGTCAGATCTGTGCAGCATAGCACTGATAAACATTGAGCCACTTCGGCACTGACTTGATTGAAGTTTAGGCTAAAGTATATTCTGTGAGATAGCAGCTATTACTGACAGACTGTGGTTATAGGTCTGTTAGAAATTTAAAACAAGGTGATAAAAGGAAAATGGTAAAGTTGAGGAAACTATGAGACTGTTACTGAGGGCCTGTAGAATCAGAGAATCTCTGACCGCGGCAGAAAGTCTGATAGTGGTCACCTAAGAAAACATTTCCCCAAATGTGGGAAAGTTATATGTAGAGGAAGGAGCTGTTGTACCACCAAGCAGGTCCCGTCTCTACTCCTTCTCCAAAGGTTTTAATTTTGCATCTGTTTCTGGGATTAGTTTCAAGAGAACTTCTTCTCCACTTTGAATAGTTAGTGGTAAAATATAATTCATAGTGCAGAACAATCCCATGTTATGCAAGAGTTATCTACGTTGATATGAAGTCAATCTATTATTTGAGCTGATCAAGAATATACCAGATACCACTAGTACAAAAGCAGAACTCCTCCAAAACTTTCTTTTTTTTTTTTTTTTTTTTTGAGACAAGGTCTTGCTTGGTCACACAGACTAAAGTGCAGTGGCATGATCATAGATCACTGCAGCCTTGACCTCCTGGGCTCAAGGGATCCTCTCGCCTCAGCCTCCCAAGTAACTGGGACTACAGGTGTGCACCACCATACCTGGCTAATTATTTTATTTTCTGTAGAGATGGAGCCTCGCTTTGTTGCCCTGGCTGGTCTGGAACTCCTAGGTTCAAGTAATCCTCCTGCCTCAGCCTCCCAAAGTGCTGAGACTGCAGGCAGGATCCACCGCACTTGGCCAACTTTTGTTTTCTTGTTTAGGGTTTGGCTCTATGTTGGAAGCAGAGCTACTGATGAGTCTTAGACATAGCTCAGCATGTGAGAGATTATAAGCAGTAGCAAGAATTGGGGAGGCAGGTGTGAAAGGTCCCTCCCTGTTGTTAATTAGCCTGCCTCTCACTCTCAAATTCATCACTCCTTTAGCCTGGCCACAGACAGGAAAACTAGCAAAAATAAGTCAGACCAGGTCCTTCTGTTACCTGGAAATGTACAAAGTGTCTATTTATGAGTTTTTGTTTCCTAGGAAACAAAAGTGAGAACATCACAGTGAAGGCCTGGTGTGAAAGCAGGGCTATCATATCACTTCTTAGTGGAGATGAACAAGTGGCATGTAAATCCTGTAATTCCATATTTACCCACTCAGCTTTGTGAGTACTCAAGGGGAACCTGAAGAAATTGGTAAATGGGATAGAGGTTGAGAAATGCCATCCCCAAAGGGAAATTTCCTAGGACTTGCACAAAACTGAGTCTCCTTAGTTTCTCAGGTTATTACACAGGTGAGGCCGTGTTGGAGCTGATGTCTTAGTCCTTTGTCAAGCCAAAACAAAGCTTAAGTCAGGAAGGTGACCTCTGAGGTGGCAGGTGACCCTGGGCAAAGCCAGTCACTACTCTTAGCATATAGCTTGAACTGGCCTTTGAGCAGTCATTTAAGCCATTGTCCAGACACAATAGGCCACAAAAGTTTGCTGTCTCTTTTGCCCACTTCACTCATCTCTTCTCCCTCTTCTCATTCTTGCCAAAATCCACACCTCTTCACATCCTGAACTATCCTGGAAATACAACTGTTAGAGTATCTCTTTCCTCTTACTATATCTCATCCTTGTTCTATCCTGCTGTACTTTATGGTCATGATGAAAGGGTGGTGTCGAGGTGTTTCACTGTTAACCATATGTGAGGCCAGAGGCTGAGGGGTGTAGAGAACCAAGACTCAATCCAGAAGATGGCAGCAGGGCATCAAAGGTTTAAATGAGAGCTCCACGGAGAAAAGATGAACACAAATAGTCATTTGTCCAGGAGAAGAAAAAAGTTGAGAATGGAGTTACTTGTCTTCAAGTTTTAGTCATTCATTCAACAAATACTGGTCTAACACCAGTTATGTACCATCAGTGGGATACATCACTGAATAAGACAAATAATAACAACAAAAGTCTTTGCTCTCATGGCAAGTTTAAATTCTGGTGGGAGAAATCAGACAATAAACAAAATAAATTATGTAGTATGTTGGAAACATGAAAAAGAAATAAAATAGAGCAGTGCAAGGGAGATCCAGAGAAAAAATGAGGCCATGTTGCCATTTTAAATGTCCCTGGCATTTGCACAAAGACTGGGGGAGGTAAGGAATTAGCCATAGAGAAAAAGTGTTCTCGAGAGAGAGAACAGCCAGTGCAATGAATCTAAGAGATTTTCTATGGAAGACCAGCCATTCCCTATCCCTGTGAAAGGAGGTTAGAAGTGGTTCTAACGTGTAGCTGAAATAATTTTAGTTGGACCAAAGAATAACATTTGTTTGTAAATAACTTCTACTAATAAGAACTTACCATGAAAAACATGCCTTGTTGTCAGTTCATTTGGCAATTAATTGTGCACTGCCTTGCAATGCCTGCAATTTAAATCCCTGATGTCACTTTTCAGAATGTCTTTTAATATGTCGTGGTCTCCCCAGATACTTCATTAACCCTTCAAGGGAAAAGATGACAGGTCCACTAGCAGCACCTAATACAGTTCCCTTCTCTAGAGGCTGAGAAGCCAAAGATAGTCCTCATCTGTCAGCAAATAGCTTAGGATAAAAATATCGCTTGGAGACAGAGAGCTGGACTTCATCTCCAGAGGGCCCTCCCAGCCCCACATTCCCACTCTAACTTTCCTGTGGGTTTTCTTTTGCCACTTTCTACTAGGCAGTAACTTGGGCCATGGTAAAGATATATTTAAATGCTTTTATTTGGCCTTGCCAGTTCCTTCCTGTGGCCTAAAACACATGATTGTCTGTGCTGGAGAGGGAGCTGTTGGAAGTGCTGGGTGCACTGATAAAGAAGCGTGGGTTCCTCTGCTTCCTCCCCATTGCCCAGAGGCCCCAGCCCCGGGAATGTGGTGGCTTCTGGGGCTATACAGAGCAAGAATTTCAGATGAATTGCTTTCTGGGTTCAAAATGGTTACCACCCTTGTGCTGGGGTCCCACTTTGACATCTCAGAACTTTATCCCTTCTGCTACTTGGGCCCAAAATGCAATTGTGTGGTCCCAGGCAAAACTCGTTCCAATCAGATTGGAAGAGTTTGACTCCAGTAGGTTGCACAGCACCACCCTGCCCCTGTGCACAACTATTAGCATTTTATGTAAAGCTCTTTAGCGTCTGGACAAAAGACAGAAAGAGTGTTTGGGTTTGAGGCTTCAGGGACTCCCAAGAGCCAGTCAGAGTAGTTTACCAGGCAGTGGGCTGCTGGGAAAGAGCATGATTTTTGGACTCTTAAACAACTGGGTTCAAATCCTGGCTCTGCTACTCACTTTATAATCATGGTCGGCTACCTAATCTTTCTGTCTCCGCATTTTCATTTATATAAAATAGGCTTTACAATACCTACCTTATTATAAGCATGGGAAAACCCAGATGAAGGGAGTGGCACATAGTTGGTAGAAAGAATTAACAAGAAAGAAACCAAGAGAGCAAATGTCCTTGTAATTGTTAAATCCTGCATCCTGGAGAAGGTAGGGATGCATTAAAGGTATGATTTTGGTGTGTCTGCAGTCCATCTTTCTGGCCTTGACTGGGGGTCTTCCAGGCCAGTTACCATGGATACCTATCTGAATAATTGCAACTTCCATATCTTAAAAGCTTCACTTGGTATCTATCCATGTCTTGGAGGACTTACAGGTTGGTAATCAAATTGTCTTTCTCCTCTTGTTAAGTGAAGAATGGAACTGAAATATGGAGCTGAAATGAAGGAAGAAAAGTCTCATCTTGATCCCCCGCCGACCCTGGCCTCAAAGCTTTCAAAACTCAGTTTTGCCAAAATGGTTGTCATTCTTTCTGCCCTCTGTCTATATAATTGTTCAGTTGTAGGTGAGGGAGAAACACGTGAAGAATAGAAAGAAGAATGCTAGGTGCTGAGTGTCATTTTTTGTGTGACTGTTGTATGTCACCTGGGGACATCCTTTCTGACCTTGGTGTCCTCAGCCCTTCAATAGGGCCTTCTGTAGGGAAAGCATCCGTAAGCATCTTTCCCAGGAGATAAATGTGGGTGTTTTAGGGGGTCTTGTCATAAAGGTGCCAAAGTAACTTTTCTGTGAACTTAAGTGAAGATTTTTGGCTTAACAATGAAGAGGAACACTCATTGTTCTTAATCTCCTGCTCAGGTTTGTCCTGAATGAGCTGGTACAGACAGAGAAAGACTATGTCAAGGATCTGGGCATTGTGGTGGAGGTAAGTAGAGGGTTCCAGGTGGGTCTGTGGTCACCCAACCAGGAGCACATTGGACTCTACCTAGGCTAAGGTGTTTTAATCTGATGGTTACATATACTTTACTGTCTGAGCACTTGCAGAAATGAAAATAAAAATGATAATAAGTGAATATGTAGGCAATATTTTTCTTTTCCCCTTGAAATAAGCTATTTAGAGGGAGGTAGAGGCCCGAATGTTATAGCATTTCGGGGAGCCTCTTGGTTAGAGTGGAACTCATTCCACTTTGTTTTTGGTGACCAAGCTATTGTCTTAAGAGCTTTTCTTTGATGTTTAACTATGTGGACATATATTCTTCAGAGCTATGAGCCACATAGGCATAAAACAGGTCATTCTTAGTGGAATCTTAGGGCTTGTACATTTCCATAGATTTTAAGGATAAGTGTTATAGCTAGCAAAAACACAGATAAAAGGAAAACCCACCAATGAGCAAGGTCGACAGGTCCACAGTTAAGAGTCAACTTGGTAGTAAATTAAACAACTCTAGCTCTGTAGGGATTCACTTACGAGGAACTTAGACACTTGGCTGAAAAAAAACCTGAGAAAATAAATAGCTAATTTGAGTGACTTAGAGCCCTATTGTTAATCATCTTGAAAGAACATGAAGTCTAAAAATTATATGCCTACATTGCCTGCTGCTTCCTTACATTTGGCCTGAGTCTCCATCCTGTGAAATCTGCTGACTTAGGGTTTTGTATTTGCTTACCTGAACCTTGGATAAACAGATTAACCAGGCATATAGAAGACCTGAATTTTAACTTATGGAAAGTTATTCTTTTCTTTTTGTGGAGCTGGGGGGGTGGAAGAGGTACAGCAGCTTCCATACGCAGTCCAGCCCAGGAGTAGAGGACGAGGGAATCTGGAGACTGGGAGGCTGAACTGCAGGGAACTCAGACATCAGCGGTGTGATTATGGGACAAGTCATCCAACACCCAGGTGCCTGGGTTTTCTTGTCTGTCAGATGGAGATAATGCTACCTGTCCAACCTCCAAACCTGATGTTAAACCAAAAATGAAATTCTATATGATCGCATTTTATAGACTATAAAGTATTAGCATAGTAAGACTTCTAGGCCAGATATATCTAATTCTGAGCCTTTACAGACCTGATTAACTTGGACTGGGAGAAGGAAGAGGGACAGCTTATTGTTTTCTTCTGTGCTCTGCTTTCTTAAGGGGACTGGAGACAAAGAAGGGGATCCTGAAACTCATAAAAGTTTTGTCCTTTGCTCTGCACTGGGGGTAAAAGACCTGGTTGAATAGTGAGAAACCACAGAAGCATTTGTCCTCAAACTCACACAGAGAGTGTAGGCTCGCAGGGGTGCTGTGGTGTGCGGCACGGCCCAGAAAGCTTTCCTCTGAAAATATGCTACTAACCATTGCCTTTGCTGCTGCAGGGCTTCATGAAGAGAATAGAAGAAAAGGGTGTCCCTGAGGATATGCGAGGAAAGGACAAAATCGTGTTTGGAAATATTCATCAGATTTATGACTGGCATAAGGAGTAAGTGTTAACGCTGCCCCGAGGATCCAGTGTCCTGGGAACCCAGGACTTGTGTCCTCTTCCTGCATCTGACTCAAGGGGTAGGGCTTAGGGGAGAGTCTTCTGTCACTCATCTTATTATTGAGAAAGAATACAGTTCTGAATAATGTGGCTTCCTTCTCTTATCCCCTTTCTCCTTTTAGTTTTTTCCTGGCGGAACTGGAAAAGTGTATCCAGGAGCAAGATAGATTGGCACAGCTCTTTATTAAGCATGTGAGTGTCTCCCATCACCTCCTCCCCAACTCCTTCACTAGGCTCATTTATATTCATTTTAAAATCCTGGCCAGGCACAGTGGCTCACACCTGTAATTCCAACACTTCAAGAGGCCAAGGTGGGAGGATTGCTTGAGCCCAGGAATTGAGACCAGCCTGGGCAACATAGCGAGGCCCCCATCTCTACAAAGAATTTAAAAATTAACCAGGGCTGGTGGCACATGCCTATAGTCCTAGCCACTTGGGGGCTGAGGCAGGAGGATCGCTTGAGCCCGGGAGGTGAAGACTGCAGTGAGCCGTGATGGCCCCACCCTGCACTCCAGCCTGGGTGACAGAGCGAGACCCTGTCTCAGAAGAAAAGTAAATAAAATTTCTTCTCTTCTGCTCTTCCTTGACTGACTTTCCTTCTCAGGCCTCTCTGAGTTTTTTTGTTTGTTTTTTTGACCACCATGGCGATTTGGAAAGTGGCTCTTGCCCACCACATTTGTATCCCTGGTATTCAGCTGCCTTGGTGCCTCCCCAAGTGTGCCTTTGTCCTTCGTTCACGTGGAGGCCAGCACGGCACTCTGAGATTGAAGTCCGCATGTCTCTCTCTGTTCTTTCAGGAACGGAAACTGCACATCTACGTGTGGTACTGTCAGAATAAGCCACGCTCAGAGTACATCGTTGCTGAGTATGACACCTACTTTGAGGTAAGCTGTGCGGACTTTGCTGAACTAGGATGGGAGGAAAACTCAGGCCAAGACAGCCACTTTCAGAAATACCAGACATCATCCATCCATAAGTGACCCCCACACAGCACCGTTGACCCCTTCACGGCAGGAATAGCTGCCTCAACAAAGAAAGCAGCTTCTTAGCTAAATTTTCATGAGCACCTTCACTTGAGAGGAGCTGAGGTGGCCCAGTCTGGGTTCTCATTTGAGAAGCCCCTATTTGCAGAATCAGCCTGAACACAGAGACGGTTTGAGAAGCTCCAGTTCTTCTTAAATGACCCTGGAGCAGATTGTACCCACCAGTCCCCCAGGGACCACTTACTGAGGAGCCTTCTGTTGGTTGAAGGGGTTGCAGCCACTTCCTAGTCTCTGCTTGGCCTAGCCTGGAAGGATTGATTTTGCGGGCAGAAAGACAACACTGTCACTTAGAAAGAGCGCTCAGCTGAGTGTTGGGAGATCTGAGTTTAGGGCCCTGCTCCATAGGCTTGTGTGTCAAGGAGAAGCCCCTTTTCCCTGCTTTTGCCCTGAAGCAGTGGAGAGAATAAGGCCCCTCCAGCTTGTCTCCCAGGACTGGGGTGAAGACCAAGGTGTGGAAGTGCTCACTGTAAAAGCATGGGAGGAAGGCAGGAAGCCAGTGGTGATGTGTGTTACATGTTGTTCATAACAAGTGAACGGTCCTCTAGGCAATTTTACCTCTCACATTGCTTAAAGATTCTTCAGCTTCATTGGAAAACATGCAGACCTGTCTTCCACGCCTTTGAACCCTGATTCAGAGCACCCCAGTTCTTCAGTTCCTTTTTCTTCTAATATTGCTGCCTGTGTTTCAGGAGGTAAAACAAGAGATAAATCAGAGGCTGACACTGAGTGACTTCCTCATCAAGCCCATTCAGAGAATAACAAAATACCAGTTGCTCCTCAAGGTAAGAAGCTGGGAGCCTGGGTCAGGGCTGGAGAAGGGTCCCTCAGGCTCAGAGCAGGTTAGCGTAGTGCTAGGCGTTCTGCCTCCACCGCACTGTCCCAAAGGACTGTGAACTGTGGGAGGGGTGGTAGGGACGTGGGAACTTTTATCCGACTTCTGGTTACTCCATCAGCTTTGCCCCCAGATAAACTGCATGACTGTTCTTCCTGCCCTTAAGGTGGCAGGTTGTTACTTGATTTTCCTTTTTCAATTCACATTCTTACTTTGTCTCAATCATTGACTTGATACCTTTAAAAAATAATAAGAATATAAAATCAGAGTGAACTACAAGGGACAAAGAAAGGGAAAGGCAAGGCTTTAGAAACCTTAGATTAGTAATACCTAAAATTTGATTTTATATATATATATATTTAAATATAAAATCAATATATTTTACATATAATCAATATATATTATCAAATATTATATATATTTATTTATATTTGAGGCAGGGTCTCACTCTGTCACCCAGGCTGCAGTGCAGTGGCACCGTCATAGCTCACTGCAGCCTCAAATGCCTGAGCTCAAGCGATCCTCCCTTCTCAGCCTCGCACGTAGCTAGGACAACAGGTGCATGCCATCATGCCTGGCTAATTTTTTATTTTTTCGTAGAGACAGGGTCTCACTCTGTTGCCCAGGCTGGTCTCAAACTCCTGGCCTCAAGCAATCCTCCCACCTCGGCCTCCCAAAGTGTTGAGATCATAGGCATGAGCCACTGTGCCCAGCCTAATTATATTTTAAACAATGGCTTAACTTGATTCATCTTATGGAACTCAGAGGCTAAATAGGAAAGAGAGACTTAACTTTCCTTTCTCTCCTTTCTTGTCATAATCCCCCTTTCCTTCTGTCTTCCCTCCCTCTCACTCTTCCTTCTCCCATAGCTTTGAAATTTTGAGGCTGAGTGCAGTTGCTCACATCTGTAATGCTAGCACTTAGGGAGACTGAGGCAGGTGCATCACCTGAGGTCAGAGTTCGAGACCAACCTGGCCAACCCAAAAATTAGCTGGGTGTGGTGGCACTCGCCTGTAATCCCAGCTACTCAAGAAGCTGAGGCAGGAGAATTGCTTGAACCTGGGAGGCAGAGGTTACAGTGAGCCGAAATCGCACCCCTGCACTCCAGCCTGAGCAACAGAGTGAGACTCTGTCTCAAAAAAAAAGGAAAAAAAAAAGAAAGAAACAAAGTAAGAAAAGAAAAGAAAAAAGAAAAAGAAATTTTGAATATTCTGGGAGTTCTCTCTCTGTTATTACATCTTACATGACTCGTAATTTCATTTCTCAGCTACTCTAAACCATTGCACCTCTGCTGGGAAGGAAAGTCTCCAGGGTGTTATTGTATTTTTATGATAAGTTGTTTCCCCGCTGTTTTACTAATTTTACCCCTTCCCACACTCCCCTGCTTCCCCTACTTGTTAGGACTTCCTGAGATACAGTGAGAAGGCTGGTTTGGAGTGCTCAGATATCGAGGTGAGTTTTCTGCTTGTAACGCTTGCTGTTCTTAGGGGCCACATTGGTTATCTCTCTCTAGAGGGGAAAAGATTGTCTCAGGAAGACCATGGATCCAGGTGCATCCCTCTCGGACAGTAAGAGGCTCTTGTAAACAGCTTTGTACCTGCTTGAGGAATGGCAAGTGTTAACACAGCGTTTCCTAGAACTCGATAACGTCTGTCCTGGGGTGGACTACAGCTGAGCCCCACTGGTGTTCTTTAGGTTCCTGGTGACACATAGTAGGAAAGGGTTACCCCTTAATATCCTTCAGAGATTAGATGTAAGTTGCACAAAAGCCTCAGTACGCAATTTTATTCGTGAAGGCAAGTATTATTTGAGTCAAACATATGAAGTATTCCATTTTCACCTCCCTATCCAAACCCTGCAGACTACGTCCAAGTGAAGTCCTTTGAGACAATGTCACCATGGGATTATTTTAAGCCAGAGAGGTTACAGACCATTCTGACAGATTATTTTAGTTTAAGACCTCTAGTGGCTCACAAGCCAGGCTAAGCTGTTGCCTGGGCAGCCAGGAAGCAACAGAGAGAAGAAAGAAAATCTGAGAAGGCAAGGGACTTGATGAACAAAAACAGGAAGGTAGGGAAAGGAGGAGCTGAGTAATATTCCCCCAACATATGCTCAGTGACTGACATGGAGCCCCTGTGCTGAGGACCAACACCCCCTCTCTGGAACAGAAAGCCCCATACTCTCTGAGTGGACAGCAGGAACCAGCGTCCCTTCCTAGAATAAAAGAGCCACCAGAGATGAAGTCCCTGTTTTCCAGCAAGCACTGAATTACCAAGAGCTTCCTGCCTGAGTGCTGTTCCCCCTCCTGAATGACGATTGTTCTTTCCCACAGAAAGCAGTGGAGTTAATGTGCCTTGTTCCCAAACGTTGCAATGACATGATGAATCTAGGACGTCTGCAAGGCTTCGAGGTGAGTCTTTAAGAATGCGTCTAAGCCCACTCTCTCCAGGACAGTAGAAGTCCAAGCTGTTGCGGCTTCCTCCCTCCGAAACCCTGTGTCCTGCCTCTGCCTCCTTCATTCACTCACCACTATGCCTTCATGCCTGGGCCCCTCTGGTTCACAGTCCTGGAAGATGCATCTCTTTAGGAAGTCCAGCAGTAGGGAGGTCATAAGAAGTTACAGAGCATTTGGCCAAACCAAAGTCAGAATTCCAAGGAGATTGGAAAGACCCAGAGTTCTTTTTTTTTTGAGATGGAGTTTTGCTCTCGTTGCCCAGGCTGGAGTGCAGTGGCGACACAACCTCTGCCTTCCGGGTTCAAGCGATTCTCCTGCCTCAGCCTCCCAAGTAGCTGGGATTACAGGCATGTGCCACCATGCCTGGCTAATTTTTTGTATTTTTAGTAGAGACAGGGTTTCTCCATGTTGGTCAGGCTGGTCTTGAACTGACCTCAGGTGATCCCCTGCCTCAGCCTTCCAAAGTGCTAGGATTACAGGCATGAGCCACCACTCCCAACTGTTTCCTTTTTTTTTTTTTTTTTTTAATAAGCACATCAATCATATTCTATTAGGGCTCACTTGCATGACTACTTCACTTTAACTTGATTGCCTCCGTAAAGACCCCATTTCCCAATAAGGTGACATGCTGACATTCTGGCAATTAGGGGCCAGGACTTCAACATAGGAATTGATGAGGGGCATGGAAGGAGAGAAAACACAGTTCAGCCCATAACAGTGAACCTTTGAAGAGCAAATTGACTTTCTAATTTAAACTGAATAACTGACTGTTATTAATGTATATCCAAACCTAATAAATTAGCCACACATAATATGTTTTTAAGATTAATATGATAAAATTGGAACTGACACAATTATTGATTGGTACCTAGTAGTTGTTGATCCCTTTAGATAAAGATGTGTATCTTCTATTTCCCAGCAGTCTGAAACCTAAGCTTTCATTATTCCTTTTTTGGGGCAAAGGGATTCCTAGAATTTGAGATAACTAAGAAATAAATGGCTTGTTTTTTTTCTGGCTACACTGGAATGGAATAGATACAAGACAGATATATAGTTGACTCATACTCATACCACTGTATGAGTAATTTAGGGGATAGTGTATTTAAGTTTGAGTTCATGCATTGGATTCATGACATTGTTGAGCCAAATTCTCTTCTCCTCCTTGCCCTTCCAGCCCATCCCATGTGTCCCTGTCTGGTTTTCATGCTTTGCTGTGACAGGAACTATGTGGACGGTTTTCTTTGCTGTGCGTTTTTCATAAGCTCTTGATCTTCCAAAGCAGGCCGGAGGCATTAGTGTAAGCAGGGTTACTCGGCAGACACACACTGAGTTCTTAACTATTTTTCTTCAGTCATACTGGGTGGAGTTTTATACTTTTTCCCTTGGCATTACATCAGGTCTGAGGCTATACTGAACAAACCAAGAGATCCCTTTTGCTCTTCAACCTTGAAGACCCCATGTTTTCTGAACAGGAGACTAACTGTGCTTCTCTGGGTCTCTGGAGGAAGTGACCACCGGCAGGAGTGGCGTCTAATTGTGCTGTCTGCCCCAAGTTAAACTTCATGTTTAACATGTGTTGTTCATGTGCATGTGCGCGTGTGTGTGTCCATGTAAGGGCACACACAAGCACGGAATCAAGCTTTTAAGTTAAGCACTGCTCTCTCCTGTTTTTGTTAAGCCACCAGAACCTGCTTTTGGCATTCCTTCAGGTAACTGGGAAGGACAGTGAGCATGTGTCTATTCCCTCAGCCCATGGCTTTGGGCTTGAGAGAAGTTAGAGCCTCCTCTTTTAAATTCCCCCCCACTTTCAAATCCTTTGGCTTTCCCTTTGATGCTGGCCGAGCTATAAGCCATGATAGGTTCTTATGTAATATTAATAGAGCTTTCCTGGCTAGCTGGTCACTGGCTTAATATTAACTTTGGACCAGGGTAGAGATAAGCCTGTTTGGCTGCTGACATTGGCAGTAAGGAGCCATGATCCAAGCAGAGGGCAGGCACTTCTCAGGAACACAAAAGAAAAATAACCCTTCTGCTGGGTAGTGTTTGGAATAAGGCATCACATGAAGGGAATGGCCACATTTGCGCCGAAGGACAGAGTTGTCGCCTGAGAAGGAGTACGTGCATTTCAAAGGAGGCCCTCAGATTGCTCTCTCTGATGTCAGGGTCTTCTTGTTGCAAAGCAATAGAAACGCAAGGTGCTCTGTCAGAGTCTGGGAAGACTTTCTGGGTTGGGCCATATTCCCTTTGAAGCTGTGAAGATGTCTCTGAAAATCTCATTAGAAACTGACAAACCAAATAGGTTCTACCTCCTCAGTTAGGTGTCAGGTGGCCTAGTAGCTAGAATCATTTTTATTTTTTTTTATTTTATTAATTTTTAAAAATTAATTTATGTGTATATTTATTTTGATACAGAATCTTGCTCTGTTGCCCAGGTTGGAGTGAAGTGGTGTAATTTTGGCCCACCACAAGCTCTGCCTCCCAGGTTCAAGTGATCTTTGTGCCTCAGCCTCCCCATTGCTGGGACTACAGGCACACACCACCACACCCAGCTAATTTTTATATTTTTAGTAGAGATGGGGTTTCGCTATGTTGGGCAGGCTGGTCTCGAACTCCTGACCTCAGGTAATCCACCTGCCTTGGCCTCCCAAAGTTCTGGGATTACAGGCGTGAGCCACCGCCCCCACCCTGGAGTCATTTTTAGAAGAATCACAGAACCCAGAAAAGTGTCTACCAGCATATAAAATGTGGAGATCTAGCTATAGTACCCCCAACTTTACCTGTTGGCCTATAACTAGAAACTAAGATTGCAGAATTTCCCCATCCTAAAATAATTGAAGAAGAGAGGGGAGTGACTTATCCGAATATTTGTGGTCCTGCCTTCATCACTTCCCTTGTCTACAGGTGAGTCCAAGGTTGGTGGCCATGAGAATGCCCTTGGTCCTTGGCCCATACTGCAAAGGAACCAGGCAGGCACAGTTCTCAGAGCTCTGAGGATGGAAAGGCCACTTGTAGCTCCAAGTGTCACCTACTTTCCATTGTCCTTTCAATAAAAAACAAGAAGGACCAGGATTATGACTTTTCTGCTAATAATGTTACCTTCCTGCCTTCTGGCATTTGTCTGGAGCTGTTTCTCAGGGGTTCCACAGCTTGCTTTCCCTTTCCCTCCAGGGCCCTTGTGTGTGCAGGAAAATGGCCAAGGTCGGCCCCCGGATGAGTGGGTGGGTCCCAATTCAGTCTCTTCCTAGAGCCCTGAGGATTTTGATGTCAGATCTGTTGTCCGTATCCCCAGATGGGGAGGTTCTCTGGACCCAGAGGGCAGTGGCCATCTCCCCATTTTTCATTCACTTCACCCCAGCCCCTCTTTCCTTCAGGGCACCCTGACTGCTCAGGGGAAGCTGCTACAGCAGGACACATTCTATGTGATTGAGCTGGATGCAGGCATGCAGTCCCGGACCAAAGAGAGGCGCGTGTTCCTCTTCGAGCAGATTGTCATCTTCAGTGAACTGCTCAGGAAGGGATCCCTCACCCCTGGCTACATGTTCAAAAGGAGTATCAAGGTGAGGATCCCAATGGTGATATGAAGGGGCAAGGAAGAGCCCAGTTTTGGGGAGCTGCTTCCCTAAGACAAGGCACTGGAGTCGTGACATCCAGAACCATGAAGATCTTTCAGCCTAATAACCTTCGGTCATGGAGGTTGAACGACAGTGATTATCTGTGAGCTGAAGTGACAGGCTGAGCCAGTCTCCAGCATGATCCTGCAGGTTCCCTGGGACCATGTCACTCACCCAGAGACAAAAACCTAAGTACTGTCCTGCTAGATCCAGGGCAAAATTTGGAAGCTTGTCCTGAAATAGAAACTTTGAGGAGCAGTAATATGTTGCTGATATTTTAAAAATCTCTTAACTATAAAAAGGATCAACTTGTTTTCTTCCAGATGAATTACTTGGTCCTGGAGGAGAATGTGGACAATGATCCCTGCAAGTTTGCACTCATGAACAGAGAGACTTCTGAGAGGGTCATTCTGCAAGCCGCCAACGCTGACATCCAGCAGGCCTGGGTACAGGACATCAATCAAGTCTTAGAAACACAGCGAGACTTTTTGAATGGTGGGTGCTGGGCTTGGTTTCTTGCAGGGCCATGTCAGGGGACTCCACAACTTCTGAGCTTCCTTGGGTCTGGGTTCATGGTGAGTTATGAACCCAGATCACAGTTTATGGAACTCCAACTTTGTAGTTTTCAGAAACACTTTTGAATTTTTCTGAATCTGAATACACAAGAACAGATAGGGTATGGAAAAGAAGCTCCATCTTTCTGATGGAAGAGATTTTGCTTATGGGACACAGGATATATGTCCTGTTGCCATCACTACTGCCTGGTACTAATTTGGACAAAAGTCTGAGGTAGGCATATCCTCTGTGTCTAAGGCACCAGGGCCGGCTAGAAATGACGTGTGTTTTTCCACTTTTCATAGCTTCTCTAGTGTTAACTAGAGATAAATGAGAGTTTGGCCAATCAGTTCAAATCCCTCCTCTGCTCCCAACAGTGTGAGAGCCTAAATAAGCCACGTTGCTAGCCAGGCTTACCCCTTTTAAATGAGAATGATTGCTAACTTTAAATTTCTATAATACCCTGAAACTTCCGAGAAGAAAATTGGTGGTTACACAGAGGATGTAGCTCTCTGTGGCCCTTGCAGGAGCTCCCTCATGGGTGGTGTGAACTGGAGTGAAGTAGAGTTGCCACTTTGAATATATTTCTTTATTTTTTCCTCTGCTGGGGTTTTCTTCACACTGAGCTTGGCATGGGAAAGGGGTGTGCGATTTTAAACTAGTGGCTGATCTCTGCTGACTTGGTTAGCTCTGATGTCTAACCAAGCAGAAACAGAGCTTGTAGTTGAATGCAAGATGTAACTAGTAATGAAGTAAACCTGAAGACTCAGCAAGCACATATGCCTGGATAGACACACACACACACACACACAACCACCTTTGGGTATACCACCTCTTCCTGCCTGTCCTGAGATCTCTACTACATGGCCATATGTGCTCACATGAGTGCACACAAAGGTACACACATGTACACATGTACAGGCCCACCCTTGGGTGTGTCACATTTTCATGCCAGTACTAGGATCTGGACCCTCAAATGATCCAGATACAGCATGTTCTGGGTGTCTAGAATGGAACTGAATGCTGAAGGGAAAGATAAAAGGTGACATACGAGTTGAGGACCTTGAGCAGGTCATGACATTTCTCTGGGCCTTGTGACTGGTTTTGTGAAAAAGAGAGTTCAGGTAGATATACTCTGCCCATGCTGGCATGCTCCATGATGAGCCAGTCTTCCTGGAAGCAGGAAACCTGGCATCCTCCCTATAATATCAGTTTCCCTATATTATAAGGGATTTAGCACAGTGTTTTAAAGACAAATAGAGGAAGATCACGTAACAGGATGCCACGACTTTTTAAGATAGAACATGAGACTTCAAAGCAATTTTGCACTTACAGAAAGTATTTTTGGGCCAGGCTCCTGGCCCTCAACTGTAAAAAAATTTGGTGAAAAACAACTAGACTAAGTGATCTCTAGGATTCTTTTCACTCTAAAATATCTAAAATTAAACACCAGCCCAGCCCTGAGGGATGGTCATGAAAGTTGTGTATGGCTTATGATTTCTGAATATATGACTTCAAATGAACACTTTTGTTGATAAAATAATTTTATGCAAAAATGTGTGCATATATAAAATATATCCATTTAAATTGCATTCTATTAATTAGGAGTTTCTGATAGATTCTAAGCAGAAATTAGGAATTTTAAAATTCATCAATTTGGTACAAAAGAAAAATAAGGTATAACAGTAAGTTGAAACAAGAAGTTATTGACATAACAATAATGGCTCCTGTATATTGAATCCTTGCTCTGTGTCAGGCACTAAGCTAAGCATTTTACATGGTTTTTCACATTTAATCCTCACGTCAACATGGAGAGGTAAGTACTCTTGTCCTGCTTTTTTTCAAGTGAGGAAAAGGAGACTCAGAACTTGTCTAAGGTCACAGAAACAGTGAGCAATAGAAACAGGACTTGAATCCACAGCTATAGGACTTCAAATTAAGGCTGTGAACCACAGAACTGCAGTATAGGTGCTAGTGTTAGAGCGCTCATTTATTTCATTATGATCTCCCTAGCAACCAAAGTGAAGAAAGAAGCAGGATCAGACATGAGACACTGTATCAATCAGTCAAAAACAAACCCTGTAGGGATGCAGTTTTCTTGATTCTGAGAATTACGTTATGCAAATGGAGGTTGGTGAAAGAATACAGGCTGTCCATTTAGCTTATTTAAGAAAGCATACTATTTTCAAATGTTTTAGCACAATTATTGTAAATAACCAGGTAATATTACAATTCCATATGATGGGAATTGATTCATAAAATCAGTTTGATAAGGCCTACTTTATAACTCTGGTATGTACTTGGAACTGTATTTATTTAGGCATAGTCAATGATTCAGACCTTTACTTGGTTCCAAGAGACCTTTCTCTTAATGAATCATGGAGATACAGTCAGCCCTTTGTATCCACAGGGAATTGGTTCCAAGACCTCCTGAGGATACCAGAGTCTGTGGATGCTCAAGTCCCTTACATAAAATGGCATGGTGTTTGCATATGACCTATGTACATCATCCTGTATACTTCAAATCATCTTTAGATTGTTTATAATACCTAATATAATATATATGATGTGTAAATAATTGTTATACTATATTGTTTATGGAATGACAAAAAAAAAAACTCTGTACATGTTCAGTACAGACTACAACCATCTTTTCTCCATCTTCTTCCCCCATATATATATATATATTTTTTTTTTTTTCTCTTTTTTTGAGACAGTCTCTCACTCCACCACCCAGGCTGGAGTGCAGTGGCAAGATCTTGGTTCACTGCAAATCTCCACCTCCTAGGTTCAAGTGATTCTCATGCCTCAGCCTCCCGAGAAGCTGGGATTACAGGCGTATGCCACCACACTTGGCTAATTTTTGTATTTTTAGTAGAGACAAGGTTTCAAGTGATCCACCCGCCTTGGCCTCCCAAAGTGCTGGGATTACAGGCGTGCACCACTGCGCCTGGCCTTTCCCATATATTTTCAACCCGCAGTTGGTTGGATCCATGGTTGTGGAGCCCGCAGATACTGTGGGCTGACTGTGTTACCGAACTGGGTTATCATCTCCTAAATACTTAATGCCCACAAAACGCTCCTCAGTGAGAGAGGCAGTGTTCTGGTGGGCCCGTTATTACTTTGACACATACAAGAGACAAGGATGTGATGATGGACCAGGGCCAGGCTTCTACTTACAGAGATGTGTGCAGGTATCTCAGAGCCCATCTTTGCTTCTGAGACCTCAAATAGAAAGGAAGTGTGGCCCTGTGTTGAGTCCTGTTGAGGTATGTACCTATCACAGTAGCAACATCCTTCTAATTGAGAAGTTCTCGGGGCCCCAGGTGTTCACCCACTTAAATAGTTGTTACAGTGCAAACTGATAAAAATGACATAATCGGTCAACCCTTGAAGTCATTCTTAAAGAATTGGACCTGTATGGCATTTGCCTGGCTCTCCCTCTGTAGTTCTCAGACCTTACAACTTTGTTACCTTAAACTCAATAAAACAAAACTCCAGTCTTCCCCTTCACATCAGCTTGTTCTCCTGTCTTGTGAGTTCCACTGACTGCCATCCTCCAAGTCTCCAAACCTGAGCCATCCTTGATTCTTGCATTGCTTTCCCACCTAGGCTGTCACAGTCTCATCTCTCCCGACCTCACCACAGCCGCATCTATTCCACATCCCCCGGTCCCGCTCTCCTAGAGCTTCTGCCTCTCGCTTTTACCATTCCATGGCTTCTGAATTAGACAAGAAGCCTTCTGTCTCCAGTCCCTCCTCCTAACCACTACAAGGTTACTGTTCCTCAAATGTGGCTCTCTGATGATAGAATCTGAATTTAAAGCTTTAAAGTTCATTCCATCCAGTTACTTTTCATGACCTTCAAAATTTGGTCCAGATTCACTGGCCTCACTTTCTAGACTTTTCATACCATGGCATGTCCCACCTCACAGACCTTTCTCATTTCCTCTTCCTCCAGGGAGACCCAAGGCCCTAGGCACTCTGACTACTTCCTGTTCCCCTCACCAGCACGTCACACTTGCTTCCTTCCTCCAGCCTAAGTGGCAGAGTCTGGCCACAGTTCTCTTCCGAAGCTCTTTGTCACCACCACCACCACACATATTACAGAGCCTTCTCTCTCTTTGCATAACCCTTGGCACCTCACATATGGCACCATTTTGTTTTTTGTATTTTCATTATGTAGGTAGATGTCTTAGTTCTCACACTGCCTTAAAATCAAGGGTAGTGTTTTTCTCGCTTATCCACACGATGCCTAACATAAGACCTTGGGCCTAAGAGGCCTCCAAATCCTTGTGGAATTCCCAACGCTTAGAGTAACCACCTGCTCTTATCCCACAGCACTGCAATCACCCATTGAGTATCAGCGGAAAGAAAGGAGCACAGCTGTGATGAGGTCTCAACCTGCCAGGCTTCCCCAAGCCAGCCCCAGGCCCTACTCCTCTGTTCCTGTGGGCTCAGAGAAGCCCCCAAAGGGCTCCAGCTATAACCCACCTCTGCCTCCCCTGAAGATATCTACCTCCAATGGCAGTCCAGGGTTTGAATACCACCAGTCTGGGGACAAGTTCGAAGCCAGCAAGGTAAGTGACAACTCATTACTCCCACACTTGTCACTATGAGGGCACAGCCTCAGGGGTTACTTTAGGAAGAGATAGAGTCTCGGTCTGTCACCCAGTCTGGAGTGCAGTGGCGTGATCTCAGCTCACTGCAACCTCCGCCTCCCAGGTTCAAGCGAATTCTCCTGTCTCCGCCTCCCGAGTAGCTGAGACTACAGGTGCCCCACCACACCCAGCCAATTTTTGTATTTTTAGTACAGATGGGGTTTCACCATGTTGGCCAGGCTGGTCTCAAATTCCTGGCCTCAAGCGATATGGCCGCTTCAGCCTCCCACAGTGCTGGGATTACAGCGTGAACCACTGCGCCCAGCCAGGAAGTGGCATCTTTGAATGCTTGCCGATTATTTTAGCAGGAACAGCCCACTAAGTACAGTCTAGTCTCAATTTTGTTTTTCTTTCCCCATAAATTGGGTGAGTTATACCAGTTTCCTCTAGCAATCATAAAAATGGATGATTTTTGCTAAATAGAATAGTTGCGGTGTGGATCATCTTCATCTAAAAGTCACTGCTATAGTGTTTGACATCTTAAAAAGAGATCACCCTTTCTAATGATGATCTGCCTTGAGCACCTACTGAAAGAAGTTCACAGTTCTTCACCATCCATTGGCTGATGTGGAAGGGAAGTCGATCATCAGTGTGAGAATGGGAGAAGTCTAACTTGGATTGAATGTTTGTCAGAGATAATCCACAATTCAAACATCACCATGAGGCGAGTCAAAGACTCAAGCATAGATTTAGTCTACACAGCTATTTCGCCCCACAAGGTAGGTAGAACAGGAGAGAAATGGGAAAAGTGCTAGATTAGGAATCAGGCAAACCTGGTTTCTATTCCCAATTCTGCAACTCACTTGCTTTAGAACATTAGCAAGTTAGTTAACCTCATTAGGCCTCAGTTTTCTCTAGAACTCAGTGGCTCTATGAATAGGAACACTTACATTTTTTATCTACGTGTTCCAATTTTATAGTTTTATTTCTCCCCAAAATTATTAGTTTATATTGGTTATGTTAAAAAATAATTAGTGTCCAAGTTCAATCCTGTATTAGAGTAACTAGACCAATTTGTTCCATCATATCACCTGGAAATGATTTTCTACCTTAAAAAACAATCCTGCCTTTGGGAGTAAGTTGAAGTCACTTTGGCATTTTGTCAAACATATCGGGCCAGATGCGCTGGCTCACGCCTGTAATCCCAGCGCTTTGGGAGGCCAAGGCAGGGGGATGGCTTGAACTTGAGAGCTCAAGACCAGCCTGGGCAACATAGTAAGAACTCGTCTCTAATAAAACTTTAAAAAAAAAATTAGCCAGGCGTGGTAGCATGCACCTGTTGTCCCAGTGACTAAGGCAAGAGAATCACTTGAGCCTGGCAAGTCGAGGCTACAGTGAGCTATGACTCTGCCACTGCACTCTAGCCTAGGTGACATAGCAAGACCCTGTCTCAAAAACAGCCAAACAAAAAAAAGTATATATTGAAGAATTTGTATGTATATCCTGTATGTATATACATACAGAATATGTATGTGTGTATATATTGAATATATATGTATGTTCTGAAGACTTTCTGACTCTTACCATGCTCTATGAGGCAGCCAGACCTCCTTGGAAAGTTACAAGTCTGTCTGGATGCAGCTGCCCTGATACAGACTCACATGAAAAGGTCATGGGCAGCATCTCTTGTATTAATGAGTAGGGGAGGGTACCTGGTGCCTGCAGGAAGTTGGGTAAGGGTAGGTCATGGCCTTGCCTTTGAACTGGGCAGAGGTAAGAGGGTCAGAATATAGAGTAAAGCCAATGCATTTTCAAAAAGAGAAAAATTTAATATCAAACAATCCATGTTCTTTTCATTGAAGAATTGTGACCCCTGACATGACCCTTAGGCTGACCTCACTCTGCCCAGGTGCTTACATATCCCTATGCCAGTGCCAGGTTCTTCCTTTCACTTGTAAGAGAATGCTGGCAGGAAGGTTGTATGCTAGGAAGGGGCTTCCAGGTCGAAGGTGTGTTTGTACCTTTATGTGGGCTGGAGCCTATTCACCCTGGATGATAATATTGTTGAAACATTGCTATTAAAAAACATACTTTCAGAGCACCTTATTAATATTATGTCATTACTCAAGAGCGAATGCTGCCCGCTACCTACCCTGCTAGTGGGAGATTTGGCCTTGAACCATTGGGTAGGGTGCCGAGCAAGACCACGTGAACTAGCGTCCTTGTGTTTGTGCCCCTCTTACCCTTATCTCCCAGCAGAACGACCTGGGAGGCTGCAATGGGACCTCGTCCATGGCCGTGATCAAAGATTACTACGCACTGAAGGAGAATGAAATCTGTGTGAGCCAAGGTGAGGTGGTCCAGGTCCTCGCCGTCAACCAGCAGAACATGTGTCTGGTGTACCAGCCTGCCAGCGACCATTCCCCCGCCGCCGAGGGCTGGGTCCCAGGCAGCATCCTGGCGCCCCTCACCAAAGCCACAGCAGCAGAAAGTAGTGACGGGAGCATCAAGTAAGTGCCTCGTTGGCTTCCCCGGGAGAGGAGTTTGAGGATTAAAAATATTCAGAAACAAACAAAAGAACACAAAAATGCAAACACACGGTAGGGAATTACTGCTGCTTATTCTCAACAGTGCCACGGAACCAGTGTTTGAGTGCTGGTACCATACACAGCATGGGGCATCCAGGCTGGAGTGGTCCAGTTTTTTTTGTTGGTGGTGGCAGTGTTTTTTCTTTCCTTTTGTTTTGTAATTTTCTGTTCATTTTTTCTCTCTTTTTTCCCCCCACTCATTAAGAAAAGAACCCTACTGAAACCCTAGGTGACAAAAGGTGTGCTTTCTGTTGCCACATCTGACCCACCACAGGACTCACTGGACTGGACTTCTATTTATATTGTATTAAGTAACTGATATATATATATATTTTTTTTTTTTTGATTGACACCAAAAAATTATCTTGGCACAAATGCCAAACCTGTGAAGGTCAGAGGCCCGCTGCTTCTCCCAGGAGGGAGGGAACTTTTTGGTTGTCTGTGGTAATTCCTCTGTACAGATTGTAACTTTTTAAAAATTCCCTTCGACCCCGTCACTTGAATATATGTTCATAGTAATTTGTAAGATACTTCTTTTCCTTATTTTGGTTGCAAAGACCCTTCCAAACACATTCCTGTATAAAGTATTTTGCACTATTTAAAGAAACCCATACGGATGAAGTCAGGTTGTGCAATATGATGGCGTCACAATGCTCATCGTTGTACCTGTCATGTAACTAATCAGTTTAAATGTACTATTTTAAATATGTAAAATAAATTTTCACCATGAGCATGTTTTAATGAAGTTAAAGACTAGTTGACCCTTTTTCCCCCCATTTCACTATTCCTGGACTTTCCAATGTGCAAACAATTCTTCTTTTCCTTTTCTTGTTTTTTTCCTTTTCTATATTTTAGGTTTTGGGTGAATGCATTGGTATTTTTTTTTCCTACACAAAAAGTACTTTTGTTGCTAAAGTTCTGACCCTGGCCTTCCCTCCTAAACAGCCCCTGTTGATTTTCCCTAACCTCTGAGATGAGGGAAGGTACAGATTCGATGCTGTCCGACTGGTTCCCTGCAACTGGGCAGCCCTGAAGTGCTGATGTCAATGAATGACCAGAGTAGAAGGCAGTGTTTGGCTGGCATTCCCCGCTGCTTTCCATGCTGCATAGTGATCCATGGAAGCCCATGGTGCAGGGGGCTCCCACGAGCTATCTGAGCAGTGGCACCAGCAGAACTGCACTGCTTTGGCCCTCTCTCTAGGACAGGGGATAGCAGCTACTGACGTCCCCCTGGCCTCACTAGGTAACCACAGGCCCAACCAAAAATTCACAGTGGCCCCTAAGGCACAATAGCCCCCATGCATTTTATCCTAAGTACACTTGTTTTGGGTGCCTTTTAGGAAGCCTTGGGATAAAGGCCCTCGAAGCACTGAAGTTTTTATTAATCAGGGGACTTGCAGAGCTAATTCTTAATGATTCATCCTCTAAATATCCAGGTACTAAACCCTTCTTGCTCCCTACCTTTGGTTCTGTTGGCCACTTATCCATACATTCCATGGGAGGGAAGGTAAAAGGATGTCAGACCGAGCAAAAGAGAGCAGATTGAAATACATATGGGTCATTTTGATTTCTTGTCAGTCGCTCTTGCACAAGGGTTGGGGGTGTGTGTGGAGGGGAGCAGTGGACTGAAAGAGGTTGTCAGTATTTACCAGTGGAGGACACTCAGCACACCCTCCCCAAGGCCTGCCATAACCACAGGGGTCAGAATTCGTTGTGATGCCTACAGGACAAATGTCACTGAAACCCTGTGTCCACATCAGTCCCCGGGCTTGCAACCAAGAGATGGAAGCTCCCCAAACCATGATGACGAGTTCTTCTGGGAAGAAGCATATGAAACCAAGCCTGTCCTGCCATTTATACTACTCTGAGTCTTCCTTCCAAACATGAAATGTTATTGCTCATATTTCTAGTTTTTCACCAAGCATTTTAAATAACCCAGAGTTTAATAAATGTAGAAACACGCCCCTACATGGACACGCACGTACACAATGTGCTGCCTGCCCTGGGAGTCCTTTCAGCAGGGATCTCCCTGACTCGAGTTGTTCTCAGAAGGAGCCAGGGACATGGATTTTGGAGTAAAGTTATCAAAGTCTGAAGTTAACAGGCTGATGCCATCTAAGATTGCTTGGCTGGTTCTTACTCAGATTCAACAGTTGGAGCAAGGTGCTGGTATGCAGGGGACAGTAGAGAGCCTGACTAGTTAGGAGATACAGGAGAAGGTCTGGGTTTTTTAAGGAGCCCACTTTCCCACAAGATTCAAGGATATTACTACAATTGCTTTTTCCTGCTCAGAAGGTCGAACCTGTGTGCTAGGGGAAAAATATTTTTGGAGCACCTTCCTCAACGTACCCTTAAAATCCTGATGTATGTGGAGCATTTTGGAGGAGATGCTCTATATTTTGCAGCAGCTTCCTTCTTCCTAAATCTCCTCTGCCTCTCTCCCATAATGGAGGCTCATCTCATGGAGCCCTGTCTGCATAGGCCCACCTTTGACAGGGAGATACTGAAGGGAAGCCACGTCTCACTTATTCCAGACAACAATTAGAACTTCTTTCAAGCTCTGTGACCTCACCTGAAACTGATGATGCCTGCTCAGGGTCACTGACACTGTTTGTGACTTGGCTTTTGGTATCTCTGTCTTTGAGATCTGATATTTACAGAATATAAGGGCTCTACTCTGAGCTTGTCTTCAGAGGTCTGTGAAGAAGTTGCTCCCAGGACCCTTTGTGGGAAGAAAGAAGTTAGGATGAAAGGCCTATTGAAAAGCCATTGCTGCTCTCACCTCCCTGGGAGTACACATTAGGTCTTATCCTAACAGGGAAGCTCTAGGACCTCTAGAGGCTGACAAAGCCATGTATTCACAAACACTGAGTGATATGGAGAATAGAGACCAAGAAACTCTTTGCCCTAAAATATCCAGATAAATGAGCGATGCTCCACTGTTTATTAAGCAAATGCCTGCCCCAGAAAATCCTGTCTGATCAACATTATTTGGGAGTGGCCCTGCCCAAATACAAATCATGAGGTAGAACTCTCAACATCATCCTTTTGGGTCTTTCTGTCTGGTCCTGGGAAAGTGTCAGTAGCATATACTTCCCTTGTCTTTCCTATTCTACTCCTCACCCCCTTTCTCACCCATCCACCATGCCCTTCACAAGAGGAATTCCTCGGTCCTGTGAGGCATCACGGGTATGGTATACAAACTCCCTTGTTAGAGTTTAGTCACCTAGGATTCATATTTTCTTCAAATGCTGCAGTCAACCTTGCACATCTACCAGGGGAGGTCAGAGTTCATCCTCGCTCACTTCCAGTTAGAGGTGAGGTCAGCTGCCAGCCCCCATTGGAGCTGGTGTGCAGGTTTGGGGCCTCTGAAGCCCGGGCTTGATGGAGCACCTCACCTGCTGACTCACCCAACGGTGGTGAGCCCACCCACCACCTCACTGTCCCTGACCTGCCATTTTGATTGGTGCATTTTTTGGTACAACAGGAAGTCATGTTCATGGCATACTCTACGCATGAGAAAGCGGGCGGAAGTGGAGAACACGGGTAAAAATGAAGCCACAGGGTCTCGTAAACCCAAGGATATTCTGGGCAACAAAGTCTCTGTTAAAGTGAGTAAGGTATTCCGGAGCTGCGTCCCCACCTGTCATCCACTCCCACCCTGCAGCATTCTCACAAGCCAATTGGGTGGATGGGTTATTTTTTTTTTCCAGTATGGGGACCAGAGGGGAAGTAGTTTAGCAGGATTTTGCATGCAAGATCAATTTATTTTTTATCTTTTATTTCTCCTGGCAACTTCAATTCAAGTAAGTACCGTTTTTTTTTTCTTTTATACCTTTCTCTTTATACTGTGCAGATGTTTTACAGCAAAATTATCTGCAGCACTATTCTCTTAAAAATGCGAGATGCTTGATTCATATTAAATTTCTCAAAGCTGCCATTCGATACCCTAGGTTTGAGAATACACACAGGTTTAAGCAATTAGGGATGCCTTCCAAACCCCCAGCCCTGTGAAGGCTGAGGTTTGGAATTTAAGGGCCACTGTGTCCTTAGTAAAGTTTCATTTCTTTTCCCCAGAGTTCAGACAACATCAACTTCAGGCCATTTTACTTGCCTTTCCCTATGCATGGACACAGTAGGGAGACACATTGGTGAAGTTCAAATTATTTCTTTATAATAATCCATCTACTGCTTTGAACTCATGAATTATAAGCCTGGCAGACTCTTATTTACCCCTGTCTTGAAACAATTTCATCTACTTTCTTTAAGTTGAACCCTCTGGAAAGATCTGCCTCTGGACAATGGAAGCTAGACACTGATTATTATAGCACTAATTGTGCCTTAATGTGTGAACATCTACCTGGAACTTTGTTTCCCTTCCTTAGCAAAGTAAGAACAACTAAAACCCAGTCTAACTTCCTTCTTGGGGAAAAGAAATCGTATGCTCTCCTTCACTCTCATCTGGGAAGTGCAGCCTCACAGAAGACAACAGTTTAAATTCGACAAAACTCATGCTTCATTTTGTTTCCATTGCTGTTTCCTATGAGATAAGCAGTTGTACACAACCCCAGCCTCCTCTCCCTGAAAAGAGCATGCTGCTGCCCCTGGTGATTCTCACTCCCACTTTAAAAATACCTGGTTTTTTCTGTGCCCGAGATCCTATCGCCCATGCTTCTCTGAAATTCTCCTCTCTCTCTAGCAAAAGCTACTTGTGTTCTAACTGTGTTCTCTTTCTTCCCCCTTCCTCATGCTGCCAATCAAGGAGACGAACAGTTCCGAGGAATCAGAGTGTGATGATCTTGACCCTAATACTAGCATGGAGGTAGAAGCAGCTATTGTTGTCCTATTTCCTACAATGATTGCCTTTTTTGATGTGTTCTGTGACAGTGACCTTGCTAAAATGATCAGCCATTCAGAGATAAATTGTGATGTTGGGACATCTCTGGGTATCCCATCCCAGCTAAAAAAGAAACAAACAAAAACATAATTCAGTTCAGCGTGGGTAGAAAACTCTACCTAGATTTTTTTAAAAAAACAAAAACTTGTTCTCTTGACTGCTTGCTAAGTATTTTCTCCTTTGGCAGGTTTGACTTTATGTAGAAAATATCCAATTTCATTATTTGAAACTTAGAACACATTTTTTCATGGAAAACAGCACTATAAAGAGTGGATGAGTCCCCGCTAAATGACAAGGACTCATTTTGGGTTTAGTTTCTCCCTCTTTTGTTTCTCCCTTCTCCGCTTCTTCTTTTTCTTTAGCCCTTTATCCTCTCCATCTTGCTCTTCTACTGGGTTCTATTCCCCGCTCAGTGTTCCAGAAAAATAATGGGTGAAGTATGGCACCTGGTTGCTATGTAGAGCTGACTGATAGCAAATGAGGTATAATTGTAGCAACTTCAGAGCACACTTCAGCCCAGTGCTGGGCCCGTGAGCAGTGGCTCTGCCCACCGTGTGAAGGAAAAGCCCTGGGGAGGACCTGTCTCCTGGAGCCACGGCAGAGGCCTCTCCAGAGATGGTGAGATGGAAACCCTGCCCAGGGGACGTTTCTCGCACTCCAGGCTTACAGGGATGTGGGAGTGGAACCAACGCCTGTATCAACAAGAACATCCATTCCACTTGCAACTCCCAGTCTGTTGGGTTATAGAAACATGGCTCTTATGTGGCTTGCCACTGAGTGGCAACCATGATAAATTTACAAACCCTGGACAATGAGGGCAAACATGGAGCTGACTTTCCTTGCCATTTTATCATTCAGAGTAAATTGTAATGTTTTTCTCCAAATCTGTGCCTCCATCTCCAGTAATAGGTATAAGTTTAGAGATTTCTAAGTACAAAATAGACAACATTAAAAAAAAAAATTTGTATAGTCCCAGACATTTCACTTAATTAGATGGACTTTTATTCTTATTCTAATTTAACCTAATCCCAAAGAAGTCCAGCACCATGTTGTTTCAGCCACCACAAAACCCAAGAGAGACCATGAGGCCTAAGAGCCAGTAAGTCAGCTGCAGAAGGAGTCAACTGAGTTGAATCAGGCCCAAGGCAAGCGGCTGACAGTGGGAGTTCTGCCAGGATAGAGTAGTCCCCCATGGATGTGGGTATTGCCACAGAGCTAAATCTGGTAGGTGTGGCTCAATACATACCCCGCTGTGGGAGAAAGTGGAGATGGCATTTGTAGCCTAAATGTATCTTAGAGAACAAGGAAGCCAGGGGAAATTTCAGGCTCTGTTTTACTTGCATTTCATAGGATAGACACCAGCTCTCCTGGAGTTCACACCTGTCAGCTTGTAGATACTGGATGGCACCTGTATCCCCAGACCTAAGTGTTGCCAGCATGTATTGCAGATGTCAGTTGCAAGTGGAGGAAGGCCAGACAGAGGCAGGGGAAAAGCCAGGTATCTGTGTTCCAGGAAACAATTTAGGACCTTGTCCAGTTCTTGTGGACTGGGAGAAAAGAGTGGTGTTTCCACTCTGTAGGAAGAAATGGGCATAGAGGGATATGGGACCAGGGGAGCAGCACACATTAAGAATATTAACTGAGGTCATCGAATGCCCCATTCTGCACTTAGATAAAAAGCATGTATGTGCATATACACATCTTAACTCTGCTTTGCTAATTGAACACATTTTAAAGGTTCTTATTCATCTAAGGCTTTTAGTCCTTTGCATGGGCTAAGTGAGATGGGTCCTCAGGAGGTGCTACAGAGTGCATGAGCAAAGACATTAGAATATTCATGCTGAACAGAGGAAAACCAAAAATTGTGTTGATGCATGTCTGAAAAGTTTTCAAATACAGTAGTTGAGGCACAAAGTTTCCTTTAGGCACAAACTTTCAAGTGACTGGAACCTCAAGGAGGCATGTTGTTGGAAGCTGCAATATCCCCAGTATGTGTGTATGTAGCCTTTATATATTCCACATACCTCCTTCTAAATTTCAGAGATTCTCTTTTTTTTTTTTTTTGATGTGGAGTCTCTGTCACCCAGGCTGGAGTGCAGTGGTATGACCTTGGCTCACTGCAGCCTCCACTTCCCTGGCTCAAGGGATCTTCCCACCTCAGCCCCCTGAGTACCTGGGACCACAGGTGCATACCACCACACCTGGCTAATTTTTGCATTTTTGGTAGAGACAGGGCTTCACCACGTTGCCCAGGCTTGTATTGAACTCCTGACCTCAAGTGATCCGCCTGCCTTGGCCTCCCAAAGTGCTGGGATTACAGGCGTGAGCCAATGCACCTGGCCTAAACTTCAGTCATTCTCTGAATGTGTTTCCAGCTTCAAATTAACTTTGAGCACATGAGCGAGTCCAGAGGGAAAGCAGGCATCTTGGCACTGCTAGTTTGGTATTTTCAGAAATAAGATATAGAAAGTCAACCTGTTCAACATGAGTTGAGAATTTTATCAAGGCATATGTAAGCAGAACCTGATTGCAATGTACACTGCAGAAGAAAATGAGGAGGAGTGCATACTGAAGAAAGAGGCTACCTTAAAGATCCAAATTGAAATATAGGTGGGCAGGCCACCTCTTGAAGGCCTCTCACTATTAAAGTGGCCATTTGGGGCATCATTCCCAGACCCAACCTGGCCCCCAACCTCACCCTTGTCTTCTGAGCTTGATGCTGTAATGGGCGTTGTCCCTCTGGGAGTGTGTCTGTTACTCTTAGTGAGCTGAACCCCGTACTGAGGGTGCCTCTGTTCCTGGAACCCCAGCTGACATAATGGGAGCATGCACCCTGTGTGTTCACTCCATGCTAGATCTCCAGATGTTAAATCCCAGCCTGCTGACTGATTCCCTTTAACCTGAGGCCAGCCTGTTGATCCTAGACCTAGCAGTGCGTAGGCTCTCATCTCCTGCCTGCATGGGAATGATGTCACCAAAACATTTTTCTCAATGAGTGGACCGAACGGTTCCTTTAAGGGCAGTTTCCTGGGGTCTTTACTTAAACACTGGCTGCTTGCTACCTTCAGGCTGACATTTGTCCCACCATGGTGTTTTGGGGAGATATACAGGCACATCCTTGAAAGCTAATTAAGAGGAAAATGAAGCACCTTGAATCCTAGGAATCAGATTTACAAAGCTTTCCAAGAACACCCAATTAGGTAAAGGGAGGTAATTCTGCTCTAATGTTTACATCCTTTTCCTTCCCCTACTTGTGAATGTTTTCAAGTACAACCCCCACTCCCAGCAGTACACGCCACACAGCGCCACTGCAAGATTGGCTCTAGGTCTGTGCCATCCCCTCGTGGCCAAGTCTCCTGCAGCCAAGTCTCCTGCTGATCTGTGACCATACCTCATGGAGAACTGTTCTAAAGATGACGAGTATCATCCATAGTTCAGCTTACTTATTTACCTTGCACTGATTAAACTTTGGGGTGGGGGTGAAAGGGGGGCATCACACATGAAAGAGATGTTTCCACATGGAAGAAGAGTCAAACCAAGCTGAAAACCAAACACAAGGATGCCTTAGGAACAGGTTAATAGTAACTCATTTTTTTCCAGTAAGGTTAGACTGCCGAGTGCCTTTTGCAGGGCTGAGAACCACATGCCCAACCATCACCTTTTTCAGTCCTGTCTCTGCCCCGGTGTCTGCACTGACACCCCAGGCTGGAGCCAGGCTCACATGTTCAGGGTCAGCATCTGGCCTATACTACATTTTTCTTAGGACCCAGGCGAGGCAAGTTTCCACCTCTGAAAAGTTGTCTGAGAACTGTGTCAATGCTTGCTTGTGTTTTTGCACCTGCCCCCAAGCCCCAGCATTGCCACCTGCCTACATCACAGGATGGGGTTGAAAGTCCTGAACTAGCCTCCCTGACTAGGGCCTTCAAGGATAAGGATTCTCAGCCCAGGTTTTACACCAAACTCAAGTAATTACATGCGTTTCAACTAAAACAAAACAAAACCCAATACCTCTTGTAGCAGAGAAAGTCAGTTCATCAGAGTAAGAGGTTGTCATCATTCCAAAAAGACTGCCTCTGCCCCAGCCATTCAACGCGCCACTGACCTCATCCACAACACAGACTAAGTGCAAACATTATCCTCAGTCATATACCAGCCACCAGATATTTAGCTTAGGGGTTAAAAACAGTGTTGGGATCTTCTGGGAGAGGGCTCTGAAAGATGAGAGAGAAAGCACTTGGGAAGGTGAAGCTGATTTTGGATGAAATTTCCCATTGGAGTAAGAATCACACTTTCAGAAGCAACAGAACCTTGGAAACATTTAGTTAACCTCTTCATTTATTTTTTATTTTTATTTTTTGTAGTAAAATATACATAAAATTTTACCATTTTAACCATTTTTGAATGTGCGATTCAATGGCATTAAGTCCCTTCACAATGTTGTACCACCATCACCACTATCCATTTCCAGAATGTTTTCATCATCGCCAACAGAAATTCTTTAGTGGACTCACTAAACTCCCTATTCCTCTCCATCCCTGCAGCCCCTTCAACTTTAACAGAGCCACAGGAACTTGTCCTTTTCTGTTTGAAAACTGGAAGGTGCTGTAGTTTCTGAGGCAGCTTCTGGTTTTTCTGGTTGCTATTCCCCCACCTACACCATCCTGCGGCAACTTGGTGTCCCATCTCCAGGTTGGTTTTAATCTAAAACACAGATCCTGGCAGACGAGAAGACCTAACTCCTAGTGCCAATTTTCGTGTATAAGTGTGTTTTTCCATTTTCCAGCTCAATAAAAAGGAATATCATTTCTGCCCATCTTGACTTTCCAAGGCTGAAGTGTAATTTAAACAAAAACCACAAAGGCAGTATCACATGGAAAACTGGAACAGGAGTCAAAAACCTGGATTTTAGTTTGGATACCGCCAGC